GTTTAGGGTTTAGGGTTGTTATAAGTGGGCTTATAAGCACGGTAACTATAGTTATAACCTATATTAGGGGACGTATAAGTCCACCTGTAACTACCCATGAACCTCCAAGTAGGGCACGCCACTGATTGACACAACCCTGCCCCTCAAGAAGGACTTAGGTGCTTACAGAAGGATGAAATCATGTTCTATTCTATTTCACTGTATTATGTTATATCATGTTACATTATCTTCTGTGATATTTTGTTCTAAGTATATCATGTTATGTTCTATTACATTATGTGCTTCAGTTTGTGAAGTCGAGGTCTACGGCTCCCCCTGGCCCCCTTGGCCTCAGCAGCAGCTTGCAGCCAAAGGCGATTTGGACCGGAATGCTTATGCAGTTGATCCTGAGTTGTTTGTTTTGGGGTTTTAGGTTTAGGGTTTAGCTTTTAGGGTTTAGGGTTTAGGGTGCTTGTCTTTCAGGAGGGGGAAAAGGCTTATGGTCTGGGGGATGGGTTTCTGTGAGGCTGTACTGGAAAAAAAATCTACTGACTGCTTGCCATTTTCAGGGGTCTCTTAGGGCAATGCAGGGGCCTTCATAAATCAGAGTTGGGTTTTGGGGTTATTAATTATACCTATAGCTATGGTAAGGGGAACCCCCAAATTGGTATAGGTAATTGTTCAGGCCCCCGTATTATGCTCGAGATCTGGTCCATGCTCCAGGTTTGCCCCAAAGTCCAAAGACCCGAAACGCTAATCCAGGGTTCGGGGCTGAGCCGAGAAAACCTCGCGGAAGCTCGCCCGGTATGGGCGGTTGGGTGTGGGGTCTAACATATTCGGGTTGAAGGTCTCGCATCAGATTCCAGGTGCACCTTCCACAATAGGTTTCATCCGTGCCAAGCCCGCCAAGCCACAGCATCAAGGAAGAGATGTCTGAGACAAGCCCACCGACCGTATACCTCTGCAATGCTCGGCGATGGGGGGTCCACGGCTTCAGGGCTTCAGGAAGTCTGCGGCCTGCGTTCTTTGCTTCGGGATTAAGGGCTTGAGGCTCAGGGCTTCGGGTAAACGGATCCGGTTGTTGTTGGGGTTTAGGACTATCTGCTATCACTCTCGCTGCGCCACCCACCGGGAACTTTCCTACACCCAACTTTGCAGGCAGTAATCTTGACCAGAAGCATTCTCTATTTCTGGCAATGTCGTCCTATATTCCTACCAGTGTTGCTGTTCTCGTTCCCTTTCGGTGGCTATAGCATGAGCAGTCTTAGCCGCAGTAGCAGTAGCACCACTAGCCACTAGCAGTATAAGCAGGAACAGCATCAGCAGCACCGGCATGTTACCAGTGTCAACTATGCCAGTAGCAGTAACAGTCCCCCTCCCACTCGGTAATTACAGTACTTTCGTGAGGTTGTAGTCAATATCAACGATGATGATGACATTGGGTTTAGGCTCCAGGTAGTTGGCAGGGCCGGGTGGGGGGGCTAGCAGCAGCAGTAGCAGCGGTGGTAGCAGCTGCTGCGATTCCAGGCACCACTCTCCCTTTGCCGGATCCCAGTTGACGAGGACAGCGATGAGGCAGTAGGCCATCCTGGTGCGCAAAGCTGCTCCCCGGAACTACTCAATGCATGAAGGCACTTTCATAAGGGGGGGGGGGAGGGGGTAGTAGTAAAGTAGCTATGGGCTTTATCAGGTTATAACCGACTATAGTAAAGTAGCTATGGGTTTATCAGGTTATATCGAATTAATACCCGTTTCTGTAACCCTACTTACGAAGCCGAAGCCCCATCTGAACCAGTATCATGATCCTAGTCTTCGTAGTTCGTGGTCGACTGCACCATAGTTAACCTTACCCAAAACGTAACCGGTCGCCCGAAGGACAGCAAGAACGGAGCAAGTAGCAGGTTGTCCTTGTGTATCTCTTTGTCTTGCTTGTATCTTGAGAACCCTGCGAAAGAGGCAACTGGCATCGCTGTGACAAGTGGCGCTGACAGAACAGAAGGCATCTCTGGCGAATCGACGGGCGACATGAGAGGAATCGAACACAAACATCCTGCAAGAAGCTTTCATGCCTTGACCAATTCGAAAGAACCCAACGCTACCGAGCTCAACACCTTTGCCGACCAGGATCAGGTAAAACAGTGCGAGTTTTGCCAGAAGGGACACATCTCGTGTCGTCTTTGTCCTTGACAAGGTTACGTGGAAAACCCACGAAAGCACCAAGTGGGTTGGTACTTGGAAGGAGAGACTAGGCTCTAGATACTTAGGCTCTGCGAATGCGTAGGCTCCGCGGCCAAGCGGAACTCCGTTGTGATGATGACGATGGCAATATTGTTGCTGTTGCTGCTGCTGATGATGATGATGACACTGCTGGCATGCTGGTTCCTTGCAACAAAGGAGCTAGTACGCATTGCTGCTATCAACAAAGTCATTCCTCATGTCCAGCTGGAGTAATGAATCATAGCAGAAGAGCAAATGCTAGTCATACTACTAGTGTGCTAGCACGGGTGGTGGTGGCAGTGGTGGTCGCCACGGCAACAGTCGTAGCGATGTAGTAGTACTAGTCGTCGTCGTTAGTACGAGCAGCAGCCGTTTCAGCACCAACGTTAGCTGCGGGGTGTGGCTGCCAGCTGGATTTACTGTAGGGGCCTTAATATATAATTCGAATATGGTTTTGTTGTACATTATACTATATTCATAATCAGGAACCCCCCAAATACTATAAGTAAGGCCATTAAGGCCCCTATCTTACTGACTTGCCGTGAAGATCCATGCCTGCCAGTGAGACCGGAGCAGCGAGGCAGAGGCAGTGGTAACGATTGAGGGTTGCTGAAGCAACAATTGTATGCTTGCCATCGACGTCGTCGTTGTCCGTTGTTGTAGTTGTAGTCGTAGTAGTCGTGGTCGTGGTCGTGGTCGTGGTCGTGGTCGTGGTGGTGGTGGTGGTGGTGGTGGTGGTGGTGGTGGTGGTGGTGGTACTAGTAGTGGTGGTGGTAGTAGTAGTAGTAGTTGTTGTTGTTATTGTTGTAGCTGTCGTCGTCGTCCTGCCGGCGTGACGGCCGTGAATAGTAGTAGTTGTCGTCGCCGTCGTAGACGGTTTAGGGTCTTTTCTGCTTCAGAGCCGCTCGTGCATCTGCCGCATCACTCGCTGCCTCACAAAAACCAATCTTGCTCACGGTTTCATGGCTTGTTTAGGGCCCTAAACCCCTAAACCCTAAAATCCCGGGATCGTTCAGGATCTCAAACTGGCCAGGGTGGAGGAGGCTCGGATGCTTTGAGGCCGAGGATGCAGGCGGGGGGGGGGCAATGTAATCTGAGGTCCATGCAACTCAAGGCACCCTCTAGGTCTTTTTTGAGACCTCTGTTCCTTCAGCATTCCTGCCTCTAGGATTCCTAAAAGGAGGAGGATTTAGAAGGGGCAGGCAGGACAACAGGAAACCACAACTTAAAGTTTCTCCCAAGCTAAATACCATAGATAAAGGGTGTTCCCTGCTCACTGCACGCCTTCCCAACAAAAATACAGCAGCCCGCAATTCCAAAGCAACTCACAGGCGAGTCTTCCCACACCTATCAACCCTGGACCTGCCTCCAACCTAACTAGTATATGGGCCTTACTAATTAGAATAGGGTGTTGGGGCCCATCATACTATACTTATAATAAGGAACCCCCAAAGCAGNNAATTATTTAGGCCCCTATATTAACTATACCGAATGCCCAAAGATGACAGGACACAAACGCGTCAGGGTTTAGGGTTTAAGCCGCTCCGGAAGAGTGTCTCTGAACTTGGTGAATATTCATGCGTACGAGGTTCTGAATCATACCTGAACCTGATGCCCTACAACAAGAACGCAACCCAAAACCATAAAACCGCAGAACCGCTCTCATTTAAATCCCTTCAACCCCCCAGCCCGAGAACCTCCTCAACCTTGAAGCCTGAACTTAACCCGAAAACACAACACAGCTTAAAGCCTAAACCGGGAAATCTAAACCCTTAACTCCTACAGTAATCCCGAAACCCTACATCCTGAAGTGAACAAAACTGCTAAACCATCCTAAACCCCAAACAAACAACCTAAGACATTAATTGTTAAAGGCGGTTGGCAGTCCTCAAGGTGCGAGAGGCCCACAAGCGCGTCAGCATCACCACCAGAGCGACGAGAAGACTCCTTGGTACCCAGAGACTCCAATATCCTT